CCTCTGTCGCCAGCACCCGGACTGGCCGCCGGCGAGGAGTGGCCGCGCTGGGACTCTCTCCAGACCCCGCTCCAGTCGGCGGAGCGACATGAACTTTGGACGGTGAATCGCAGCGTCGGTTTTCAGGCTGCCCTTCCCGAGCGCCTCTGCCCAGCGGCCGGGACGGGTGCAGGGCGCCTGGGGACCACAGGGCCAGTCCGCAGAGGGAGTCCCCCCACGCCGGCCATGGGAGGCCGAGTGCTGCCTTCCAGAAGCTTCCCGGGTGACCACACCCCGGTCAGGGAGAGGAGGCGGCCAGGAGCTTGGGCAGCCTCCACAGGTTCGCGGCCCAGCCTCCTTGATCCACTGGGTCAGGCCCTCCGACACCCGCGCTGTTTGTTATTCACTCACTGTTTTTAACGCAACTTGGTCTTTTTTTTTTTTTTAATATGTCTTTACTGATTTCAGAGAGGAAAGGAGAGGGAGAGAGAGATAGAAACATCAATGATGAGAGAGGAACATCACTGATTGGCTGCCTCCTGCACTCCCCCCACTGGGGATCGAACCCTCAACCCGGGCGTGTGCCCTGCCCTGACCGGGAATCAAACCGTGACCTCCTGGGTCATAGGTCAACACTCAACCACTGAGCCACACTGGCCAGGCTTTGACTTCAGTTAATTTTAAAATAAAGTAAGTGGACAATCAGTAGCACTTGCCCAAACCTAAAGGTGATCACGGAAACAGGTACCACGCACATGACACGCTGCATCCTGGCAGCTGCCCCCAGGGCTCTGGGCCTGGGGCCTGCGGCTGCACCAGGGAGGTGCCCAAGGCCTAGGCCAGTGATGGCGAACCTATGACACGCGTGTCAGAGGTGACACGCGAACTCATTTTTTTGGTTGATTTTTCTTTGTTAAATGGCATTTAAATATATAAAATAGATATCAAAAACATAAGCCTTTGTTTTACTATGGTTGCAAATATCAAAAAATTTCTATATGTGACACAGCACCAGAGTTAAGTTAGGGTTTTTCAAAATGCTGACACGCCGAGCTCAAAAGGTTCGCCATCACTGGGATAGAGCATCACAGGAACTGACCGTGTTAAAAGAAGTCCTGTGATAAAACGGCACGGATGCAACACACACATGCATGCTGGCGTGCACACACATGCACATGCTGGCGCGCACACATGTACTGGCACATGTGCACACATGCACATGCTGGCACACACATATACTGACACATGCACACACAATCACATGCTGGTACACACATACACTGGCACATGCACACATGCACACATGCTGGCACATGCACACACACATGCTGGCACACTGCGGAGTGTTGGAGTGGGGCTCAGGTGGCGCCCGCATACTCGCTGCTCTCACAGCCATGCAGCCCGAAGCCGGCTCAGGCCCCTCGTTCCTGTCCGAGACTTTTAGGGGTCAGCCAACCCCTGGGACTGTGAGGGGTCACCTGTGACGCCAGACGTCTGGGCTGGCAGTTCTTCATGTGGGACGGACCAGGTTCTTTCTCTTTTCTGTTTGAAAAAGCCAATCAAGAGGCTAGGCCAAGCAGGCCCGGCCCTTGTGGGCTCTTGGTGGCGTCAGGCTGGGCACCTTTTGGGGACCTGGGGGCCGGTTTGGCCGCTCCGGCACCGGCACCAGCACCGGTGAGCGCTCACGGCACCTGGGAGGTGGATGCACTTAGAGACATCGCCTGGCCCCGCGACCAGGTAAGGACAGGAGGCTGGTCCTCAGTGCGGGCGGACTGGCCTGGGCATCGGTCGGGGTTGGGCTGCAGGCAGCGGGCTTGGGGGGCGCTTCCAGGAACCCTTGGGTGAGGGCCACGGCGCTGCGGGCCTTCAGGCGGAGCTGCCGGTTAGGCCGCTGTCGGGGGAGGCTGGGATGGATCCAGAGACCGGATGGCCCTCTGGCCGCAGGGAGAAGCCAGAGGCCCAGGCGGGGAGGAGGGAGTCACAGGTGAGGAGCAGGCAGGTCCTGGGGGGCCCATTGTGGGGGGACAGGCTGGGGTAGGAGCTGGTGTGACTCAGAGCCCACGCTCTTAACCAGTGGGTTTGAGCGCACAGCCCTTGAAGTGGCTCAGCGTCCGTGCGTCTGGGTGACGAGGGGCTGGACAGTGTCCCTTCGGGTCCTGGCCTGGCCACCCCGCCCCCTCTGGAGACAGGCGATGCCCACTCTCTCTTGAGAGCCCCCAGGGGTGTGTTTATTCCTAGTTGCCCCCCACAGGCTCACACTTGTGCTCACACGCCCTTCTCCCCCTTCCCCCCAACGGGGCGCTGCTATTTGCCGCGTTTTAACGTGTTTTTTGCTGAACAGTGTGGCTTGGAGGTTCTCATTCCCCATCTTGTCACAAGGAGCCCTCTTGTCCCCCAACCCTTTTTCTTCTCACGTGCGGCCCACGCCGCCACCACCTGTCCCTGGCGTCCGACCAGAATGAATGGTGCCCGCGTGGTATCGTCCTGAGGATCAGGAGTTTATTCCCCGCCGGGCAGCGGCAGGACTGGGAGCGGCAGGCTTTGGGGAGGAGTCGCACCCACGCCGGCCCGGTGCCTTCTAAGGCCCAGGTGTGTCCTTAGCCCACG